CCCCCCCCCCCCCCCCCCGCACACATCCTGCCTCTTCTCAGGGCCCCACGCTGCCCATCCCTCCTGGACCACAGGCCCCTCCTCCGGCCTAGAAAGGGCTCCCGTCTGTTCCATTCCTGCCCGCCACTGCCTCCATGCCTGTCCCCACTCCGCTCTGCACTCTCTCCTCTCCTGCAGACTCCGGCCTGCCGCCTCTGTCTCTCCAGCTCCCCTCCTGGTGGTCTCCGCTTCCCTCTCTTCTCACTCTCCCTCTCTTTCCTTCCTCTGTCTTCTTTCTTCTGTAGGAGCCTCAAACCACCGTCATCCATAACCCAGTGGACGGGATTAAGGTACTGGCGCCTCTTTCCTCCTCTCGCTCTCCTCAGGCAGGAGGCAGTGGGGCCCAGGACAGGATTCTGGGGCATTCCCCCAGGGCAGCATTTGTGCCAAGAGAGGCCCTGGCCACCTGTCCCCAAGGCAGGGCAGAGGTGCCCAGCCCACCTGCGTGGGCCACGACAAAGCAGATGGCTCAGACCCCAGGCACGCCATCCAGTCCCTGTTTGGCCGGCACTCTCAGGCCGGGGCTCTGAGTGGCTTACCTGTCACAGGCAGGGTCCAGGACTCCCTGATGTCCAGAGCGGGGTTCACTTCTCAGGGACTGTGCCCTTGCCCCTCCTGGCTGTCCCCATCCCTCCCTCCCCAGAGCTTCCTGCTGAGCAGCCTCCTCCTCTGCCCTCCGCTCTGGCCATCAGCTCCCATCACATTGGCATCATCACCGGGGCCGGGGAAGGGGCTGGCTCTCTGGGGTGGTGGGAGGGAAGGGCTGGGGGCCAAGCCTTTCCAGGACGGCCGGGACAGCACGGCCCCCCCGTGCTGTCGGCCCTCTAGCCCCACCCAGCACGGCCCTCTAGCCAGGCTCCCGCCTGGGCATGGGCTCCTTACAGAGCCCCCAGAGTGGGGCCCCCACTTCCTTCTGGCTGGTGCCACTGCCCAGCCCATTGTCAAAAGATACCTTTCTTCATGGCGGGGACCAGGGGGTCCGAGGGGCACTCAGGGTGCTAGGCAGCCAAGGGGCTGGCAACTGGGGATGGGTGTCCGTTAGGCCTGTGTGTCTGGGATGGGGTCACATTCTCCCTTCCAGGGCCCCTAGACAACCTTCTGGGCTGTGGTGAACCCTGACCCTACTCCTGGGTCTACATTGCCAGAGCAGTGTATCCCAGCAGTGTCCAGATCAGGTGCCAGTGCCCTGGGGACCTTTTGAGATTTTTCTCCTGAGGAGCAGAGCAGGCCTCCTGGGGACTTGGTGACAGGCAGGTAGTCTTTTGATCTGAAGGGCAGCAGCCCTGGAGCAGGGGGAAGTGCAGGGCCACCTCTGCCCTCTAAGGCCACCAAAAAGGTGAGATGAGAGCCTATCTGGACAGCCAGCCCGAGAGGCAGGTGGTTCTGCGGGGGTCTCACCTCTTCTGGGGAAGGGGATGTGAGTGGCAGGGGCGCTCTGCCTGAGGCCAGGCCATGGCTCTTGGAGCCCTGTGGGGACCTACAGACCCACTGGAAGCGTCTCACCCTGTCTTGGGAGTGCACCAGCTGCTGGCCTCCTGCTTCGCTGGGAGCCAGATCCCACCGTGTTTTAAGTCTTAGAATTTTAAAAAGCCCGATTTCCTCTCTTTTTCAAGAGAGTTGGCTGCGCATCCCAGTCTTCCTGCCAGGCGAGGCCCTCGTGTGTGGGGACGTGTGAGCCTGTGCCGGCTGCCGCGTGTGGGGTTCCTGGCGAGGGTGCCCTCTTGGGACCGGCACAGAGCTGGGTGCCTTCTCTGGTCACTGCTGCACGTGGGTGTCCACAGGAGGGCGTGTCCCCCGAGGCTGTGGCCTTTAGGCCCTCTCAAAGTGGCCGGGGAAGAGGCCTGTCCCAGAGCCTGGGCCGGCCCTGCCACAGCCCTGTCCACCTGCACGGCAGCATCCGCTTGGCCTCAGCCACGTCCTGACCCACTGCCTCCCCCTGTTTCCTCAGGAGTCTTCGGACAGCGCCAACACCACCATAGAGGATGAGGACGCCAAAGGTACCTGCGCTCCAGCCCTCGCTCCCTGAGCGGCCTCGGCTGTGCGGGCTGCTATCTGACGCGGTGGGACTTCAGCTGGGTCAGCTGTCCTGCGCCACCGGGTTGTGTGCGAGTGGGCACAGAGGCCCTGCAGCTGCAGTCCTTCCCCAAGCCTGGGCGTCAGGCCTGCCCAGCGTGTGGGCAGCATGGCTGGGATGACCAGAGGCCGCGCGGTCCTGGCGTGTCCCAGTGAGGCAGCTGCGAGTGGCCTTGCGTTGGGGCTGGTTCCTCAAGCCAGGATCGCAACACACTCTGGGGGCCCAGAGCTCTGTTCCCACGGGAGAATGAGTTCGTGGGTAGAATTTGCTCCAAGACGTTATTGTTCTCTTGAAGTTCCTTAAGCTTGTGATCCCATCCAGCTGACACCTGCTGAGTGCCTGGGCAGCCGAGGGGCCGTGTCCGTGTCCACCTCTGCTGGCCCCGGCACCTCCTCCTGCAGTGGCTTCTGTGCCACCCCGACCTCCAGGGCCCATCCCCATGCTGAGCCAGGCCAGTGTCCTTCGTGCTCTCCCAGGATAGGGTCTGCCACCTCCAGGCCACCCATATGGGGCCCCCAACCCTCACTGGTCACACGGTGACATAGGCAAGCCCTATCAGGACTGCCCCCAGGGCCTGTGGGCTCAGCCATTCTGCCAGTTTGGGAAGAAAACTTCTCGCTGGCCCGAAGGCTGAGCCACAGCCTAGCTCCTGCTGACCCTACCCAGCTTTGACACTGTCCCTGGGCGTCCCCTATTCCCCAGAGCAGAGGACTTTAGGCTCTGGACACCAGAGAGTAGAGGTTCATGTGGCTGCCCCACAGACTGAAACAGGCCCCAAGGTCAACCGCATGGAGGCTGTCCGGGCCTCCCCCTTCTGAGGTTCTCCCCTTGCCCTTGGGTGAGGCTGGGGGGCACTGAGCAGTGACAGAGGGGTCTGGGGGTGGCTGGGCCTGGAGCCCGCAGGGGAAGGGAAGACAAGCTGAGAAGCCAGCAGAGGAAGCTCAGGACTGAGGCCCCAGTAGCCCCTCGAGGCCAGGGCAGGTGCCCCCAATGCCAAGGCAAGCCCCGCCAGGCTGCGCTGGGCTGGTGCAGAGTCAGGACAGGCCCAGTAGCCACTGTGGCCCTACAGTGACCGTCACAGCTCCCTGGGCCTGGCCTCCACTGGCTCTGGGCAGGGGTCGTGTCATGCAGCCCTGCTGGTCCTGACAGGTGGCCCTGGAGACACAGGCCCTGTGTTGACTCCTTCAGCCTTCACAAACCTGCTGTGGCCATCCCAGGCCCTAGACACCCATGGGGTGACCCCTGTCTCTGTCCCCATGAGCCCTGGCTGTGGTCTCGGGTCCTGCAGCTGTAACCTCCCTCCTTCCTCTTGGGCCCTTGGTCTGTCTTCTCCTGTCACCTTCTCTTCCTATGGGCCCCCTGCCCACCACCTGCTCATCTGTTCCACCCTAGTCCCCAGGGTCCCTGACATCCTGAGCTCGGTGAGGAGGGGCTCTGGAGCCCCAGAAGCTGAGGGGCCCCTGCCCTGCCCAGCTCCAGCTCCCGTTAGCCCCCTGCCAGCCCCATGTGAGTAGCTGGGCCTTGCTGCGGTGGGGTCACTCTGAAGGGCCAGCCACCCCCTCCAAGGGGACGCTGAGGGCAAGCTGAGCATGGGCTCCTGACTGCAGCCCCACATCGGGGCTCCTCAGGGCTGCCTCTGCCCAGTGAGCCCCAGCCTGTGCAAGCCCCGGCCAGAAGCCTCCACTGGCCTGTCGGGAGGTCACTGGGTGGGGCCGGCCCTGGGCCATGCTCCTGCTCAAGGCTGCTGGGCAGTTCGGGAGGCCCCGGGAGCTCACCCCGCACTCCACTTAGCTCTGGGGGCTTCTTGCTGCTGAGACAGGCCCCAGTTCCAGGCTGGACCCCGAGGCCGGCTGGGAAGAGAACAGGGGCTCCTCCTCCCTCGCTCCCTGCCCTCCACTCTGCCACCTTCTCATGCATCTGTCTGCCTCATGTTCACATCTCATCTGTTCTGCCCCAGCCCCCAGGATCTCTGACATCCTGAACTCGGTGAGAAGGGGCTCAGGAACCCCAGAAGCCGAGAGCCCCCTATCAGCGGGGCCCCCGCCCTGCCTGTCTCCGGCTCTCCTAGGTCCCCTGCCCGCCCCATGTAAGTAGTGGCCCTGGGCCTGCTGCCTCCGCTGCGGGAGGGCGCACTGGGATGGGCACTCAGCAGCTTCTGCTGCGCATGGCCGGAGGCCCGGCGTCCCGCCCTGGCTGGGCTTGCGCGGGCTCACGCTAACGCAACAGGGCAGCTGCCTGGGCATCCCCCTCCAGAGGCCCAGCACCCTCCAAGGCCCACCTCCCACTCTCTGCCCCCCACTTTTCTGCCCAGCCCAGACTCTCCCTCAAAGGCCTGTCCCACACCTGGGCAGCACCTGGCCCCTCTGCCGCCCCCTCAGGCCATCTCTGCTGAGACGCTGCCCAGCCTCACTGACACCACCCCCAGCCTGGTGCCCTGGCCACAGAGCCCTGGGGCCTGCCCTCGGGGCTGCCCCGATTCTGGTGTAAGCCAGGCCCTGAGTGCCCTTCCTCAGTCAGCGGGTGAGGAAGGTGCCAGAACCAGACCCCCAGCTAGTGTCCCTGGAACTCATGGACAAGAGGATATTACAGACAGGAGAGGGCCTGGCCTCTGCTGACGTGGCCTCCTCAGATGGCCACGTGGGGAGGCTGGTCCTGCCCTGTCCAGCCGGCGCTCCCTCATCCGCCTTCCACACTTCCCAAGGGCAGCTTCCCTGACGCCACCTCCCGGAGGGAGCCTCTGCCCACAGCACCTGCAGCCACGCCACCCTCCACAGAGCGCCTGCCCCTCGCTCCTGAGGCCTCTTCCCCATGGCCCCTCTGTCCCCACAGTCTCCCGTGTCCCCACATCCCCCCATCCCTCATGTTCCCCTCTGTCCCCCACGGTCCCCTCTGTCCCTGAACAGTTCCCTCTCTCCCCGGACAGTTCCCTCTGTCCCCATGTTCCCCTGTCTCCCACATCCCCCTCTGTCCCCCACAGCCTTCTTTGTCCCCCACAGCCTTCTTTGTCCCCCCATGGTCCCCTCTATTCCCATGGCTCCCTCTGTCCTCCACCCACTCTCTGGCTTGGCTGTCAGCTCATGGGTTTCTCTCCTGTGTCCCCCATGCCTGTTTCGTGTTCATGTCTCATCTGTTCCACCCCAGCCCCCAGGATCTCTGACATCCTGAATTCGGTGAGAAGGGGCTCAGGGAACCCAGAAGCTGAGGGCCCCCCGACAGTGCCCCCGCCCTGCCTATCTCCGACTCTCCCTGGGCCCCTGCCCGCCCCATGTAAGTAGCACCTCGAGTGGCCCTGGCGGCAGCTGCTTGAGGGGCTCCCAGGGCTTGAGCCCCGCCCGGGCTGTGGCACACGGCCAGGCTCGCTCTGGGAAGGGCCGGCCTGCGGGGAGGGCGGGGCACAGGGACTGGCACTGATGCTCGCGGAGATGGCGCAGGGTCTCGGCGTGGGGAGTGTGATTCTGAAGCACGCGGCGTGTGGACGGCTGCCGGTAGGAAAGGCACCAAGGCAGCGGGTTTGTGGCTGACGCAGAGCACTGGCTGGAGGGGATGCGCGTACAGGCCCAGGGCAGACAGTGCAGCCGCTGGTGGGGCCTCGCACGCCATGAGGTGCTGGCTCAGGTTGGGGTGGACCTGCCAGGACAACGATGCAAAAGAAACAGTCGAGGCCTGAGAAGTTATGCTGTTCAGGCTGCCCAGGTCCGGTCACCGGGCAGCAGGATGGGGGCTGTGGGAGGGGCAGACTAGGGCAGCCAGGGCCTGGGCTCAGACCCAGGGCGGGCGGGAGAGGCAGGCGCAGGCTGGGCAACCTGGGCAGGGAGGGGCGGGCTGGCCGCCTCCCCAGCCTATCTGCCAACCGCCCGCCAGTATCGCTTACAGGGATGGATGACATCCCAGGGCTGCAGCCACCACCACCCCCACCTTCGGGGAGACACTGGGCTGGGGGTGGCGCTGAGATGCTCTCAGTGAAGAGGCTGCCAGGCCAGGGGCTCGGCATGGCAGGGCAGTGGCTGGGTGAGTACGTGGGTGACAGGTGGGATTGCCCACCCCCATCTCCTCTGCAGGCCAGGCCTGGGGGGCTGCTACAGGTGCCAGGGCAGGGGCTGGGAGAGTGAAGCCACAGGACCCGTGGCTCAAGAGAGTTGGGGTACACAGCCTGCAGGCTCAAAGGGTCACTGATCCACCCCAGGTGGCCCAGGAGGGCGTAAGGCAGCCCCTGGAGGGCACTGACCCCCCAGAGCATTCTGTGGTCAGCCCAAGGACCCCAGAAGGGTGCGTTGAGGGGATCGGAGATGAGTAGCTGAGGTGAGAGACCAGGTTCTTGATGGTGATGGCATGGGAGCACCTGAGCGGAGGGACAGGGAGGGGACGCTGTGTGGCTGGCGTGGAGCCTCTGGGAATGGTCAGAACCATCCCCCAGCCCCCGCCAGTTTCTGCAGCATCTCATCTGGTTATAAGTGGCCTCACTGCCATTGCCGAAGGGGAGAGGTGTGCCCAAGGGGGCCAGCCTGAAACATCACCCCATTACGTCCTTGTGACCCTGGCCAGCTACGACCTGCCCTCGAGGTCTGTGCAGTAGCCCGGGGTGGGTGCTCTGAGGACAGGGCTTGTGGTGGGCACTGAGCATCCAGGTCAGGGGGCAGCAGCCCAGGCTCACCCTCAGAGCCATGGCTCCCACCTGCCCCTCCAGGGTCTGTCCTGAGCTGGGCTGGGTGTCGGGGCACAGGGAGGGGCCGTGAGCAGGCTGGGCAAGGGCTGGGGGAGACATCCTGTGGAACTCAGGGGAGGAGGAGTCCAGGGGCACTGGCCTGGGGGCAGCAGGGCCAGTTGGCACATGGCTGGCTCCTGGCCATCCTGCAGGTCAGTCGTGGTCACCTCCTTTCTCAGAAAGGTGCCCACCAGCTGTGTAAATAGGCCAGGGGGCCTCTGGCCCACCTCAGGCTGGGCTCCTCCCTGCCCCAGGGCTCCACATGCCCCAGGCCTCGAGCTTCCTAATCGGGGATTATGCACAATCCAGGCTGATCCCCCACAGCTGCCCTCCCTCCCACAGCACCTCTGGCTCTGGGGGACAGGGCTTGGGGCCAGCCTGGGGTCCCAGGTGTCCAGGCCAGGGTCGGAACCTGCTCGGGCCCCACCCGGACACTCTGGGCCTCCTTGGGCCTGTCGGCTGACCCTGAGGGAGCCGGGAGCAGCACGCGGCACAGGCTCACCCCTGGTCACCCTCCCAGGCCGGCCCCTGCTATGCCCTCAGCTTTGTCCCTAGCGTTGCCTGACACAGCTTGTCCTCAGCTAACAGGCTTCACCACCAGGGTGACCCTTCATGCTGCCCCTCCCCAGTCGTGTATCGTGTCCTTCATGGGCCCGGACACTGAGGACACAGAAGTGCCTGTGTGCTGTTTGGGGAGACAGAGCTGGGGCTGGGTCCCACGGGGGTCTGGGCAGCAGCCCCTCTGCAGTTCGGGAGGCATCCGGGCCCCCCTCATGGGCAGCCTCGGCTTCCCTGTCTGCAGGGCGGGCGGGTGGCTCCACAGCAGACTTGCGTCCACACTTGAGCACGTGGTCACCACCTTTAATTGGAGCTCTGCCCATGCATCTCCTGTTCTGTTTACTCCATACTTTCTCTTCACACTGACTCCCATCTTTTTAAAATTGCAGTTTGTGTAAAAGCACTCCATATTACTTCATTAAATGAAAGATTCGTTTCACTTACCACAGGTATAAGGTGACTGTAGAATCAAAGTAGGCTGGAAACAAAGTCATGTCACTCAGTTCCAGCTGCATGCTGCTGTGCCAGCCTCCTGTGGAGGGGGAGGGGCAGCTCGCTCTGTCTGTTAGAAAGGGGGATTAACAAGCGTCAGGGGGTGTTTGGGACACGTGGACACCACAGACTTCTCGCTTGAGTCATGGGGTGTTTGGGACACGTGGACACCACAGACTTCTCCCTTGACGTGATTAGGGCAGAGAAGAGGCAGGGACGTAGCAGCGGGGGTGGTGGGGGACCTGAACTGTCACATGCTGCTGCCCCAGGGTCCAGAGGGCAAGGACAGAATGGCCATTCATGTGTTGGGACAGAGCCCAGGTGCCCTCCCAGAGCTAAGCAGGACTTATGGTGGCCTTAGCATGAGCGGGAGGGGAAGGGGCTTCTGGAAGCCTCAGTCTACCTTCTTGGAGGCCAGGTTCCAGGGTCGACCAGGTGGGTGGGGACGGGGCTTCTGCAGCAAGACTGTCCTGAGAGCAAACCGTGTCATGGTCTGGACACAAAGTTAGGCAAGAAAGAAACAGGACGGCAGCAGAAGTGCAGCTGGGTCAGGAGAGAGGGCCTTTGAAGATGGGGCCGTCCAGAAGTGCACATGCGCCCACACACAGGCACACTAGCATGCGTGCACACATGCTCAGGTACACACACGTGCCTACATGCACATGTGCATGCTCTTTTGCACAAGTACACGTGTATTTCCATGGGCACGTGCATGCACGAGCACGCGTGTACACACATGCATTGCTCATACGTGTGCATCTGTGTAGCCGACTTCTCAGAGATGCCATTGGGCTCCTCCTGCCATCACTGTGCAGCAGGGGCTGTGCACCCCGCCCCCCGCGAGTGCAGCACAGGTGTTCCCAGGCAAACACAGGTGTCCCTCACACCCAGCACATGCATGGGCTGAGCTGGGCATGCAGCGCCTTCTGCTGTGCACTTGGTCCTCCTCCCACCTGGGTAGGGCGAGCTCCCAGAGGCCCTGGAGCTGCTGGGGGAGAGTGACAGGCAGCCATGCCACAGGGCGTGCTTCAGAATAAAGCTCACACACTTCGAGGGCCAGCAGTCCCTCCTCTGTGGCCCTTCTGGCAGCACTGGCAGCTGCGGAGTGGAAATGCTCGTCGCGGGGCCCCCCTGCGGGCGGAGGGCTGGCGGCCACTGCCTGTAGTGGTTTGGGGGACGCACGTGGGGAGGGTTCCCGGGAGCCTGCCCCCAGGGCACCTCTGGGGGTCTGCGTTTTCACCAGGGCGAGGTACCGTGAGGAGTCGCGACGTCACTAGCGCGTATGGGTGCGTATGCGCGTGCGGGTGCGGGGAAGCGGCCGAGGACCTAACTCGGGGCAGTGCTTGTCTGTGGGGAGAGGGAGTGAAGCCAGATGGAAGAGGACACAGGCATCTCCAGTGACATGTAATGCTTCATTTCTTTAAAAAATGTCTAAAGTGGAGATGAAAAATGTTAAGATTTGAATCAGCAAGATGTGGGTCACATTATTCTCCCTGCTTGTTTCGTATGTTTAAAAAAGAAAATCGATTGTGGTCAAAGCAGCACAGGGGCTGCTCGTCAGGCCCAGCGCGGGCGTCTGGAAGCCGGCGGTGGGCGGGGCACAGGGGACTCAGAGAACATGGGGGTGGGGGGCTGCAAGCAGGGGGGCCCACAGGGAAGGGGGTAGCCAGAGACTCTGGGCTCGCTCTTCCTGCCTACCGGGACCCCCCCAAGCCATCTGGCCCCGCAGCCTTTGCCCCTGACTGCTCCAGGGGACCCTGCAGCCACCACCCGTGCCCGCCTGCTCCCTGCTCCTTGCTGCCCGGGCCAGGGTCTTCCTCACCTGGTGCCGGCTCCAGCAGCCCCCGCCGCAGGGCTGTTGGATGAAGGAAGCGCTACGTGAAGAGAGCAGGCGGAAGGATGGAGCCGGGAGCTGGTCGTGGTATCCGAGCTACAGGGAAGCCCAGGGCAAGGCCCGGTGGGCCAAGGGGCACAGCACACGTGAGGGCAGGAGGGTGACCCTAGGGGGTGGGGCTGTGGTCAGGGTTTTTCCCCTTTCTGCATTTTCCAGGCATTTTGTTATGTGGATGGAAAGTTTGTCATTTTTTTGTTTAAGAAAAATAAGATAGAAGCTGTCATACTTAGAAACAAGGAAGCCCTTGGTGACCGTGGAAGGGGGTGCTGTGAGCTGAGCAGTTTGGGCACCAGGTGCCAGGGCCCAAGAGGGTCCTTTCTGGAGGGCATAGGCAGGGCGGGTGCTGCCTGCAGCTGCTGGTCCCCCAGGCCCTACCTGGGCTGTGTTAGGGGTGTCCAGGGGTGGGATGGGCCAGCGCCAATGGTCACCGGGCCGGGCCCTGTCTCCCCACAGCCCGGAAACAGGAGATCATCAAGACCACGGAGCAGCTCATCGAGGCTGTCAACAACGGCGACTTCGAGGCCTACGCGTGAGTCCCCGGGGCCGGGGGGCTGTGCAGGACGAGGATGCAGGACCCTGGGGGGACTCTGTTCTGAGTCAGGGGTCCACAGGGGATCCTCCTCACTTGGATTTGTCCCTCAGGAAAATCTGCGACCCAGGCCTGACCTCATTTGAGCCCGAAGCTCTGGGCAACCTGGTCGAAGGGATGGACTTCCACAGATTCTACTTCGAGAACTGTGAGTGAGGGAGGGGACATGGAAGCCCTGTCCCCTCCGTGCCCAGGGGCCATGCCCAGGGGTGGCCAGGCCCTTACTGGTACCCCCTGTGGCAGTGCCCGCCAGGGCATACCCAGCCCCCAGAATCACACTCTTGGGGGGGCTGTGCCACTCCCAGGAGAGCCGAGCCCTCCCCCACAGGGCAGCGCCAAGACAGGCAAGGGTTGGGACGGCGCGGTGAAGGGCGGGCACGTGGGGTGGCCGCAGTGCCCGAGCCCCCACCCGCCCGCTGTCTGCAGTGCTGGCCAAGAACAGCAAGCCGATCCACACGACCATCCTGAACCCGCACGTGCACGTCATCGGGGAGGACGCCGCCTGCATCGCCTACATCCGGCTCACACAATACATCGACGGGCAGGGCCGGCCCCGCACCAGCCAGTCCGAGGAGACCCGTGTGTGGCACCGCCGTGACGGCAAGTGGCAGAACGTGCACTTCCACTGCTCGGGCGCGCCTGTGGCCCCACTGCAGTGAAGGTGAGAGCCCCTGAGGGGTGTGGTGGGGAGGCGGGGGGCGGGGGGGCAGCGTGGGGCGGAGCCTGCTCCTGGGGGGCCCTGGAGCTGTTGGGTGAGGCCACATTAGGGATGATGGCAGGCTGGGTGTGGCATTCCCCCCAGAGGATGGGGGCGCTGATGAGGGCATGAGCTGCCCCTGCTGGCCAGAGCTGAGTGGGTCACAGGTGGATGGGTCCTGGGCCACACAGCCCTGGGCACCATGCCCTGTTTGCCGGGACCGTTAGCACCCGGGATGGGGCTCCCCAGGCAGTGGGTGCAGGGGACCAAAGCCGGTTTTACAGGCAGGTAGTAATTGGGTTGGGCGCCTCGAGCTCCCTCTCCTGAGCAAGCCCTTCTCCGGACCTGGTTCGCTTTAGCCGTCCCTGCGGTGCCTGGGCAGAGGGCAGAGCCTGGCGCAGGCGGGGAGAGGGGCTGCTGACGGCCGACCTGCCCGCCCCGTTTCAGAGCTGGTTTCGCCGGACAGAGTTGGTGTTTGGAGCCCGGCTGCCCTTGGGCACACGGCCTGCCTGTCGCATGTTTGTGTCTGCCTCGTCCCCTCCCCTGGTGCCTGTGTCTGCAGAAAAACAAGACCAGATGTGATTTGTTTTTAAAAACAAGATGACGACGACAACCACACACACAAAAAATTGACGTCGGATGAAATGAAAAAAAAAACAAAAAACTAAGGAAAGGAAAAAGCTGTAAAAATCACTGGCATTCGTGGGGCCACTCCCCACCCGCTCCACGTGTGTCCGTCCATGCTCCTGGCCTCTGGGGCACCAGCTGGGACGTGAACTTGTCCGCCAGGCCCCCGTCGCGTGCTGAACGGTGTTAGTTTGTAGGTAACGCACACACCCCACACCTAAGGCGTCTGCATCCTCCCGCCAACGCATGGGCTCCATGTGGTGTGCTCGCTGGCTGTGGTGACCGTCAGCTGTCTTTTGGGGAGGGGCTGTGGGGGCCCGCGGGGCTGCCCCCTTCCTGCTAGTCGTGCCTGAGAGTTGCTGTCGTTCCTGCTTTCCCTTCCCTTCCCTCCTTTCATCCCCGAGGGGCTGGGTGTGGGCTCCCCGTGCCCGGTGTCCCCATGTACCCAGCATGGACAGACTGCAGCAGAGCCTAGGCCAGCCCCTCGCCCCCGGGAGCGTCAAGGAGACTAGAGTCCTATCCCCAAGGCCATCAGAGATGCCCCCAGAGACCCAGGGCTCCAGCTCTGGCCCTTCTGGGGCAGTGAGGTGCGAAAAGGACACACCTTAGCTTCAGGCCTCCGCCTGGCAAGAGATGGCACTGTTGGCTGCAGCTCCAGCAGGCCCGGCATGGAGAGGGGACTCGGCCTGGGCTGGACTCCCTCCTGTTTGGGACACCTGTCCCTTCCCTGCAGCTCCTGACCCCATCTCCTTCCTGGCCCTCCCCCGGCCCGTGCGGCTTCTCACTGTGCAGCTGGGAGCAGACTTTTTACAAAGGACCGCGGGCCACCCTCAAGTCCTGAGCCCCGACGGGGGCGGGGAGGAGGCCAGGTGCACGTCTGGGGCTGTTCGGGGAGCCGGGGGCTCTGGGCTTGGTCAGGTGATGAAGCAAGTGGCAGAGAGGGGTCAGAAGGTGGTGGCTGCCGGGGCTACTGGGCTGAGACAGGGGTCCGGACAAGTGTTTGCAGAAGTGGGAGCATTTCTGGTGTCTGAGCCAGGAGCAGAGGGAGCAAGAGCCACAGTGGCGCAAGCCCAGGGCACACGGGAGGTACGAGGATGGCAAGGCTGCCGGGCAGGTGTTGGGTGCACCGGCTTCAGTCGTGCAGGCCAGCTCCCTGGTCCCCGCCCTTGGCAGGGCTGCCGTGTGTGTGAGGGCACTTTTCAGGCAGCCGGGGGAAGGCCATGGAGAGAAGGAGGGCTGGGGGCAGAAGCAGGTGGGCGCAGGGCCCGGGACCCAGAGGATGGAGAGGAAGGTCCCGCAGGGACGACAGTGCTGCCCCCAGGGGCCAACCCCGTGCTCCGCGTGTCGCTGCCTGGGCTTACTGCAGGGTGGGACCCCTCAGCCCCTTGTGATGTGGGCACCCCGGGAAGGCTCGGGGACAGAGTGAGCCCGCAGGCAGGTGGGCTGCAGGGGGCAGCTCTGAAGCCCGGTTGGGTGGGTCGGTCAGGAGCCTTGACTGCAGAGATTCGGGTTCCCACCCAACGCCTGCCCACCTCCATTCACGTCGTTTTCAACAAGGATTTTCTTTATCTTCCCCCGTAAATCAAGCCCAGGGAGGGGCACGGAGTGGGGAACGGGACACAGGATCCTAAAATCCAAAGGGGCTGTCCCCCAACGAACACTCAGCGTGGACGCCACCTCCGTCCTCGCTGTGCCCAGGACAGCTGCCCCCATCCATGGACACAGGGTAAACATCTGCTGGGCTCCGCACTAGTGGCTCCCTGGGCCACAGGACAGCGGCAGGGCTCGCCATGGACAGTGTGTGGCCCAGCGGCCGGCCACCCTGGCGTCCTAGGGCCTCCTCCCCTCCTCTCCCCTTCACCTTGTCATCTCCACAGAGCTGCCTGTCTGGGATAATTTGGGGATTTTTTTTTCTGGGGGATAATTCTTTTGCATGACCCCTAAAGAGCAAGCCACAGCCGCTCTGCTAGCTAGGTGTCTGCGGTGTGGTGGCAGTGGCCTGCCGGCCAGTGCTGCAGGAGTCAGCTGCCCACGGTGCTGGCTGGCCTCCCCTTTTCTCTCTTTTTGCTGAGTTTCATTGTCTTTTCTTTCTGAGCCTTGTAAGTGTACAAAAATTATTTTGTTCTGTCTCGGGAAACTGCAAATAAAAGAAAAACAGGACAAACTGCTTGAAGTGCAGCTGGGTGCTTTACGCCGGGACCCTGCCATACAGACTCAAGCCTGGTCCCTGGCCCGGCTCAGGCCCCTCCTCTGACGGTGGAGGACATGGAACCCTGAGCCAGCCCAGACGTTCCCAAGCCCCTCTAGGGTGGACGGTGCACCCAGGGTGGGCTACCTCCAGTCCTGGGTCGTAGCTTCACCAGCAGTCACCACCACCTCCTCTGGTCCTCTGAAGTCCTCACCAGAACTGAAACTGGCCCCCGACCCCCAGGGCCCCAACCTCTCCAGCCACCCCAGTGGCCTCTAAAGATGAGAAGGGAAGGCCCCAAGACTCCATCCATCCTGCTTTCTACCTTCACACCTCCTCTGCCACCATGTCTGTTCTGGGTGCTGAGGACACACGGTGCCAGGCCTTGGTTCTATACATTATACAGGCAGGTGGCACACGGGCCACACAGATGGCAGACTCAGACCTCGGATGCAGGCGAGATGCAAAGATGACGTGGCAAGCAGCTGCCACCAGGGTTAAAAGGCTCTCTATGGGGACTACACAACCTGGAGACCAGGGCAGAGGTCTAGGGCAGAGATGGGGGACAACGGGTGCCAGGCCCAGCCCAGGAGAGCAGCTGCGCCCGCCTGTGCCCTGCTGGCCCTTCTGCAGCCTCAATGCCCTCCTCCCTCCCAGACACGCCTGGGTGGCCCCTGCTGGTCCCCTAGGTGCACCCTCGTGTCTCCATGGCAAGCTGCTCAGAGTGTGGCCTCCCCTCCATGTTTGCATCCCAGGCCTTGCTGCTGCACATTCCTGACACAGAAGCAGGGACTTCAAAACACCAAATATCCCACACACCCAACATGCTCACTTCTTGGGTCCGAGTAACTTCTGGTAAGACGGGTGTCCCTACACCCTCTCGGACCTATCCACCATGGGCAGGGGGCGCCTGAAGCATGCCCAGAACTGGCCGAAGTCCCCAGCCTCCCCCATCCTGAGCATCTGGTTATAGACACACTCGCTCAGTGGGAGGCCCTTGATGTCAGCTGCTCACTCCCCACAGGCGGCACCTGGGCAGTGCTCTCAGGAGCGTGGGCAGGAGGGTGGCAGGTCCCAAGAACCGGGTGCAAAGAATCTAGGCCAGTGCCTGCAAGTGTGGTGGTGTCTGTCCCCAGGCACAGTATCTAGGGCTCCACTCGCCTATCAGCTGTAATCAGAGGAGCCTTTCCAGGCCAGGCCTCCCTCAGGAAGGCCACACGCTGCAGATGCTGAGCCTCACGCATGCATTATTCCTGAGGCCTCTCTGCAGATGCCATCAGGGCCCCTCTGATGAGGTTTTAGGGCACAGCACACAGGGCTAAGCCACGCCGTGTGGGGCCAAGTGCTACAGGCAAAAAGGATATCACTTTTAAGTAGCACCTACTTTGGACAAAACTCTCTGGGCCATGTGTCACCCCAAGAAGGCACGGCTTCACCCCCCTGAGCTCCAGTGGGTCCTCTGAACAGACAAAGCCCACGCACTCAGTTCAAGGCTGCTTCCTGGACCCGGCGGAGAGGATCACAAGCACAGACTGAAAGCTCTAGGCCCGCCTGCCTGGGAGATGGAATGAAACCAGCTGCAGAGGCTGCGGACCTCTAAATGCCCTTGGGCGTTCCCTAAACTCAGGTCAAGATGCGAAACTGGAGTCTGACCTGCCCCTGGTTCACTTCCGAACCTGCAGGGGTCGACTTTGGAGCAGAACGTCCCCAAGTGCCCTGTGGAGCCCCCTTTGCTCCTAAAGTTTCCACCCAAGCTTGGCGGGAAGCCAGGTGGTTTCAGACCAACCCTGGGGGCAGTGGTGAGGGATGGGGATGCCTACGGTGGGATCAGGGCCCCCTCCCCCGTGGCTCTGTAGTTAAGAGGCAGCTTCTCAGGAGGGTCTCCTGGTTGCAGTTACTACTACCTAAGAGAACAGGATTCAGAGGCTGCTTCTACTCCAGGGCGCCCTCACCTGGTTAATAGCAAAAAAAAGAATATGGCTCCTGCTAGAAAGGTCTATGAGAAAGGTTAAGGAGCTAGGCCTGGAGCACCTGTCCCGGACAGGCCCTGCCAGGATAACGTGGACCTTGTCCCCTGCAGGTGCACAGCACCAGGGGCAGGCCTTGGTGAGGAAAGGGTGCCCCATGAAACTCAAACAAAGCACAGGACCATTTTGGAATTTCAAAGGACAACTTTTATCAGGACAGGAACCTCTCAAACAGAAAAGTTAGGCAGCAGTTATTAAAATACACTCTTGTGAAATGACTTAACATTAAACACAACAGGGAGCAGGAAGAACGCAGGGTGTGCCCTCTGTCCACCACAGGGCCTGAGTCAGACCCAGAACCCCGCCCTGACCCAGGCAGGCCCAGCCCCTGGAGAAAGCACGGCCAGGTCTCACTTCCTCTTTCCCCAAACTCACACCTCCAGCCCATTCCTCCCCAGCAACTCGTGTAGGAGGGGAAAAGGCTTCACCCCGCTGTCCCTGTCCCTTGAATCCAGGCCCACTCCGCTCCATCTCAGGCACCAGTGAGCAGGCTGGGTCTGTGCCTTCAGCAGGCCCTGGGCTTGGGGCGTCTATAGTAGTAGAAAAATGACACGGACAGGTTCCTTCAGGGGTAGGCCAAGGCCAGCAGCACCCAGAGAAAAAGGGTGGCAGCAGGTAAACCAGCCAGGGGTGGGGTCCTCAGAATCCTCAGCAGAACCCACCCTCTTGCCACACCCACCCTGGGGACTCAGGGCCCCTGGGACTCCTGGTCAGCACAGTGGGAGCTGGAAGCAGAATGGCAAGCTCAGCAGGACTCCCAAAGACAAGACCATACTGGTTCAAACTTGTAGATGACACCATGCCAGCAGGGGCTTCCATGGGGACTGGATGCTAGGGGTGCATATAGGGGCACAGCAGGGCATGAAGAGGCAATTTGGAACATGGCACTAGGACCCAAGGGGCCTGAACCATCCTGGGCCCATCTCCTGGGCTGCTCCAGCCTGTCTCCAGGACTGGGCCTTGGGGCCGGGGCAGGCCTCCTGCTGGGGGCAGGCGCCAGCTCAGACCAACCCCTCAGCCTCTACCACCCAGCCACCTCTGACCAGGAAGGGACTAGCAGGCCTGCACTGGCCAGACCACAGGAAGGGTTCTGGGAGTCCTCAGGCAGGTTGGCACCTCCCCGTGGTGCTCACGGGAAAGACCCACTTGTTTAGATGTACAGGCCCCAGGCAGTCGCCAAGGCAGTCTTGTAGCCAGAGAGGCCAATAAAAACCATTTTTGAGGGACTACAGCACCTATTGCTTTGATCTTGATGTTCAAAGTTAAACTGCAAGTCAAGGCAGGTGTCCCCCAGACCCTGGGCGGGTAAGTGCACCTGTGTTTGGATCTTCCTGTGAAGATGGGACACTCCCGGCTGAACACTGAAGGAATATCCCACTCTCCCGGGCTCAGTGCCCAGCCTGTGTGCTGGTATGACCACACCCACATATTCCAGCCCAGGTCTCAGCTCCTTCCAAACTCTTCTCACAAGTCACCTTTGTGATACTTGATGGAAGTAGCTTAGGATGGGCTCTGCCCTCAGCAGGAAGCCAGTCCTAGCAGAAAGGCAAGCTAAGTAACGGTCTCGGAATCTGTGAGACCCAGTGACTGTTCTCCCCCAAAGAGGCCTTGAGCCTGAAGCACTGGCCTGGCTGTGGCCACTGCGGTGGGCTCACCCCTCCCCACCCCCCGTGGCCCCAGGAGAGGCTTTCCCAAGGGTCTCCAAACTCTGCCCACTCCAGCCCTTGCATGAGGGACTCTCCCCTCCCCACCCACCCCACTCACTGGAGTGTTAATATCATTAATGTACAAATAAAATACAAATAAAATATATCAAGGATCGAGAAACAGCTGGCTCTGACCTCCCTCCCACAGAGCCTTCCTGGGTTTAGCTGGGAACGAGCCCTTCAGCATCTACAAGAGCCACTCAAGAGTTTATGGTTTCATTTACCCAAAAATACACTTCTGGGGGCCTCAAATTCTTTCCAAAAGTCTCTACCAGACATGAATTTGAACGGTCCCCAACCCTTTCACCATCCCTCAGTTCTTCCCGGAAACTCCGAAATAAAAAGTGGCCAGTCTGCCCCCACTCCGGGTCCTTGTCTATGGCTGTCTCTTCTTTTCTGGGGGCTGCGGTTCAGATGTGAATGACGGTGACGTTCCAGCACTGGGCCTCTGCGGGCTGCATCACATGATTGCACAGCAGGAGTTTTGTTTCCGGGCCTTGAAAGAAACAGAGAGGAGCTGAAGAGGACTAAGGAAGGCCGGGCAGCCCCAACCTTGGCCAGTGTGGCAGAGGGCGCTCCCCAGGAAGCAGTCAGAGAGACCAGGACAGGAGGGTGAGGAGGGCAAGACGGCCTCAAGAGAAGCTGTCCAGAGCAGTTTACATCACCAAACACAGGTAAGCCACAGCTTCCAACGCTGTCTGAGATCTTTATTATTTTTTTCCACACCCCACAAATGCTATCAAAAAGGAGTAAAATTTCTGCTGTTAGGCCATATACAAAGAACCAATAATACAAACTGGATTGGCTCAGTATCTTAATTTCGTCCCCACTTTTGTCGTCCAACAATACTATCTGACCACCGTGGTGGTGTTTCTTCCTAGAGGATGGTCCTCAGGACAACAGGTGTGGTCCCCACTTGGGATGTGGTCCCTGCTCAGTTCCTGGGAACCGCTGTTACCACTTTCTCTCTGGCTTTCTGGTCACGGACTCTCCTACTAACCCCACTTGGCCACCTCCCTCCAACGTGCACATGAAAGCAAATGTGTGTGGACAGATCAAGTAGACTCGTCCCTGCTACTGTCCAACAATGGGCCAGCAGTGCCACCTTCACCACATAGGAAGACAGTAGCACTGCCCTGAGAGAAAGTGGCAGTCAGCAGGATGCATCCTTGTCATTGGAATATTTCTGTGAAAGGGAAATTAAGTAAAACCTTAAGAACCTCTTCAGAAAGGCTGAACTGCTAGCATCTTAAGGACTTATAACTAAATACTCAACAGACAGAAGGAATAAGGGCAAACCCTGGTGATCAGAACTTGAACCAACTTCTGTCTTCTTGGGGAGGGGAGTGTGGGTTCAGGAATCCGCAGAGCAGAGGCAGGGGTGGAACAAGGCCTCTGCCTGCACCCGCCCCATCAGCACCTGAGTGACTTGGGCCTGGGAGGCTCCCCTCAGGCTCTCGCTGCACAAGGAGTGAAACCCCAATCCACCGTCAGTAAACAGGCTAAGACAGACCTGTGCATAGTGGCAAGTGCCAGAAGCAACAAGCTGCGACTGCTCTCTGGAACGGAACACCCAGGAGCGGGCAGGCACCGGGTACTCACAGTTTTATAGAAGGCTTTAGACTGCGTCCCCAGCACCTCGGATTTGGACACCAAGTCATCCAGCTTCTCACCTCGCTCTAACAAAGATTCCATGGTGTTGTGCTGGACAAAAGAAAAGAGAAAAGAGAACTCTGGTCTGTTCAGTGACTTGACATGAACGGCTTGTGGAAATTCAGTCACGGGGGTGAGCACCTCTCCTGGCCTCTTCTCCAACACACGAACTTTACCACTAAGCATCAGGACTTAGTCCCAGAACAGTTCCTGTCCCAGTGGACGAAACAGGATCTGGTGACATTCCTATAGAATCTAGAAGTTCTAAATGGGATATAAAGGATTTCCCAAAAAACTGTCCCCAGCAGAGGCTTAAATAACCACCACTCTAGGAACACTCAAGTATATACTTTTTATATATTAGTGTGGGGGTATGTGTGCACATATATATGGGTTCTTTGGAAAGAGAAAACAACAGCTGGGTACTATATGGTTGTACTGGGTTAGACAGTAGCCCCTTAAAATTAACGCCCACTCAGAACCTCTCAATGTGACACGATTTGGAAACAGGGTCTTTATAGATGCATTCAGTTAAGATGACGTCATGCCGGATTAGGGTGGGCTCTAACTGGCGTCCTGCTAGGACAGAAAACAGAAACGCGCACAGAAGAGAAGGCCACGTGACGACAGAGGCGAAGACTAAAGGGATGCATCTACAACCCAAGGATTGCCAGCAACCACCAGCAGCTGGTGACAGGCCTGGGACGACTCTCCCTCAGAACCTCCAGAAGGAAGCAGCCCTGCAGACACCCTGATTTCAGACTTCTGACTTCCAGAATTGTGCGAGAATACATTCCGGTTGTCAGGTCACCCAGTTTGCAGCTATTTGTTACCAGCAGCCACGGGAAACTGACACCATGGGAAAGCTGTGCCGTCTCATACAGCAGCCACAAATAGCTCCTGAGCACTTAAGATGAGGCAAGTCCAAACAGATGTGCTTTAAGTGCAAACAAACCAGATTTCACACTCAGACTTGGTATGCACAACGCCTCATTAGTAACTTTTTAGATTGGTTACATGTTGAAAAGTTAGTATTCAGATATACCGGGTAAAATAAAATATATTATTGTAATAAATTTCAACTATTTCCTTTTATCATTTTAAAATACGGCTCCCAGAAAATTCAGAGTTAAACATATGACTCATATATATTACATTACCACTGGAGAGCACTATGACAGAACATGTCCTGCTTCCCTAAAGGGGACTGTACCCTGAATGTCCTCACTACAAACCGACTTAGGAAACAGAAACATCAACCCTTTTTTGCAGGGGTCAAGGGAGAAAGGCCCTGCTGCCAGGGCCCCAAGGAAACAGCAGCTCATGTCTCTCCCCAGACAGCCACTGCTAGAGCAATGTATGCTCTAGCAATGAAATACCGTTTCGTATCTGTGCATGTATGTAATGGTACAGAATGAAGAATTAGCAAAAATGTCCTTTATCCCTACATACAGCTGAATCACTCATATTTTTAACATAAAAGGTAACTGGATTACAGATATGGACACCAATAACCCAGACTTTACAAATGCAACTAGAATGGGTCTGTGTGAACATGACCCATCAGCCGTCCACAGCAGGGAGAAAAGAGAGAGAGAGAGGGAAGGTGTTTCAGGCTCCTCAGCACTCTCAGACTCGGACTCAAGCAGCAGAAGGAGAAAACGTGGAGAAACACCCCCATGGTGGTAAGGAAGCTCAAGAGGCTACACAAGACAGATGCTGCACGACTTTCACACCTAACTTCCATCCCAAAGCCACGTTATCCAGAGTGCAGTCCAGGAGATCTATGTACGAAGCCTCTGGGATGCTTTTTATAGACTGTAGACTCCCAGGCTCTACCCCAGACCAACACGTCCAAGCCCAGGAGACGCTGATGTCAGCTGAAGCTACGCTGGTGTAGATGGAAAAGCTTTATATTGGGGGTGGGTTTTTTTCTGGGCTTCACATCTGCTCTATATATCCATCAGCTGCTGTGCACTGGTGTAAACCAGGCCTGCAAGGTGAGCAGGATGGAAAAGACGTCCCAGGGGCTCACACCCTGGTCAGAAAAACACATAAACAAGCAGTGATGGCAGTGACATGAAAGGGTGCAAGAGAGGACAAGGCCAGTCATGAGACTGTGTCAGGGAGTTTGCACTTTATTCTGGAGTGGATCTGAGAGCAGGAGGATTTTGAGAAGAGTGCAGATCAAAGGATACTGCATGGTGGACTAGAGGTGGGCAGGGGGTGAAGGGACCAGTTAGAAGCAAAGGCCACAAGGGCCAGATCTGAAGCAAAAAACAGATGGCTATTGACATTTCACATGTGTGCAGAAAAAAAAAAAAAGTTGAAGTGGCAGTTACCGATTAGGAGACTTCAGATAAAAATGGATAGTTCTAGCTTTTCTCCAATGGGCCTGACAACTCTGGGCCTGTATTCCAGCACGTGGCTGCCCTTTGGTCAATGCAGAGGGCTTCAGTCTGCTCACCTCTGACCTGGATATTGCAAGGGGAGGCACCTTTCGGGGGCTCTGAGACCTGATTTAACATAGGCACAGCCGTGGGAATCAAGTACCATGGAGGCCAGACCCTCAGAGCCCAGGACAGCCCAGATAGGCAGTGGCCATGGGGAGGAGAGATTGAAGGGCCCCACTAGTTCCCAGCTTGGTCCCTTACAAACAGTGGGTGCTGTTAACCAAAATAGGGGTACAGGAGGAGGGACAGTTGAATGCCCAGTGGTGGGGGTTGGGCAATCCCATTTCTCAGAGACTGCTGTAGTTATTATCAAAACAAGGAACGATTCCGTGTGTGCCTGGGCAGTGGTAAATCCTTTCACCCACCTCCCCACCAGCCCCAGTTCTTGGGTTTGTTCTCCACTTTCCTGCTTACCAGAATGATTTTGGTCTCGTCTAGTTCAGCCTGCACTTTACTCATGGGGTCAGCTTCTCGGGGGTTCTAGGAAAGAGCCAAAAATAAGAACAAAGTCAGGACCAGAATGGCTACATGGAAACAAAGCTCAAAACTGAGGAAGCTGGACAAACTTTCACAGGTTAAAAACCACGGCCTGTTTAAACACACAAGAGAGAAACACAGAGTCTGCCCAGAGCTTCAGTTCCCAGGTCTGCAGGTGGATTCCCTGTGATTTTCAAACAGAAGGCTCAGGAGAGAACAATGGCACCAAAACCTGTCAGAAGTCACTGGACCAGAACTATCAGGGCGGTTGACTTTTTCAGTTTCACACAGATTCTGGGCCACATGGTCCCTGTATGATACTTCCTTAAACCCTACCTGGTATCTACTGAGGTGACCATCCAGGGCTGCGTAATGGATTGTGGCAGGGGATCCTACTGGCCAGTCCACCTTGTCCACCTGGTTGGAGAATTCATCTAGTACCTGCAAGACAAAAGAACCTCAGCAAGTTACCCACATGTACTCACCAGTACCTGCTGCCACAGGGCTTCACCCCTGAGCCCCTCACCCTGAAAGAGGCTCCCATGCCCCCAGAGCCCAGGAAGGAGGGAAGAGGAGGATATATAATGGCAAAGGGGAAAATCTACGCTAAAGTTCTTTCCAAATCTTTCTTATCATTAAAACAAATCCTAAGTATTCTAGAAATCAAAAGTGAAGTATGCCCAGCCTGACATGAACCTCACCTGGGGAATGATAAAAGTATTTCAAATTTTAAGCGACAGGTATCCAAGAAAAAGGGCACTGGCCCTCTAATCTTTCAAAGCAATTTTTCAAAAAGGGAATTAGGTCCTCCAGATTTAAGAAACCACCACACTTCACGTGCTTGGAAGTGTTTTAGTGCTTTAGGGAATACGCTGAAGCCTCTGTTTTCAAGGAGTTTAAAACTAGCACCACATGAAAAAATTAAACAATGCTTAGGTACAAGCTCCATGGTGCAACTGACCAACACCAGGGACAGAGCTGCAGTAACTGCAAGAGGCAATGTGGTGAGATCGAGGGCCTTCAGGAGAGGACTCCTCCAGCACAAGCACAGGGGGTGAGAACACAAGCTGTCTCCAAGGACCCCGTTCCCAGAGGAGAGAAGCTGCAACTCAGTAGACTAGACCCAGATAGGATGAGGATAGAAGTCAGCACCAGAGAAGGTACCTGGGCAGGGATGCTAAATTCTCTCTTGATTTTGGGGGGTGAGGAGAGCTGAAAATGTTTTGACTTTGGACATATTTCATCCCTATTCCTCAGGCACTGCTGTCACCCCTGGCCCCAGTCCACAGATGTACCTCACTCATCATCCAAGTCCCACCCAACCAAACCAAAAACTCACCTTCTCCAGCAAGGTAAAGGCCACCCGGGATGGGTATTCATTGTCAGCAATGGCCACGCCTGCAAGACTGTCATTCCGGACATAGACATGGCACAGATACTCTAAGGAGACAACAGATCAGACATGTGGATATTTACATGAGAGCTTCAGATTTTTTTTAATCCCTCAAAATCAAAGCATCACAATGCTGGGCTCCTGCTTTTTAGGTCAAATGAAGCCACTTGAAAGGTCAACAGCTCTAATCAAGATTTGTGGAGAGACAGTGCAGCCTGGCTCAATGGACCCCACATGGGAGCTTGGTGCAACACCTACTTCAGGACCGGTAAATGGCCAGAAGCCTAGTATGCAAAGCCAGGGCCAATAGGAGCCACCAGTGGTGCAGAAAACACACCAAGGCAACATGGCCCTGGGTGTATTTCCAAGTCATTACCTTGAGCTCAGGTTAGGCTGGGCTGTTATCTTGGGGATTTGCAGCCCTATAAGGCTCTGTGCTGCTTCCAAACCAAGGGAACCCTGGATAAGCCAAGCAGCCTCCACTTTCTTTAAAAAACAAAACAAAACAAACAAACAAAAAGCCCTTTCACAGCAGACAAAAGTCAGAAAATTACCTCCCAGGCCCTCAGTCTTCCATATCATAGCAACCCTGCTTGGCATGCTGGGTTGGTAACTGAGGGGATGGGGGTCAATCTAGAAAAAGATTAGCCACTGCCGGCTGACGTTGTCAGTGTTACTGTGCTAAAGTCATCGCAGGATTGAAAGGTACAGTTTGTACAAGGGCTTCTGCAAAATATTCATAATCCACGGGATTGTTTATTCTCATCACCTCAAAAGGATTCAGAAATGACACAGCTAACTGTATCCCAAGGAAAGAGAAATGTAAGGATTACAGCTTACAAATAAGAACCTTCTTGTCCTTAAGGATCTGACCCAGAAGATTCCAATGCTAAACAACAGAAAAACAAATAAAAGAGAAGGGAAAGACTGTGAGCCCCTGAAATCAGAAAAGGGCCAGAGAAAAATGAGAACAGGAATGAGGATGAGGATGACAGGAGGTCATCACCAATGTTCCTCAGATTTCATATACCATTCCCAAAAAAATAAGATTCAAACATGGGGTCAAAGTGCACACACTCCACAGAAACTGAGAAGCTGGTCAGTGTCTGAGGAATTGTCTTTTAAGTAATAAACTTGGAAAGGCAGATACCATTTAAAGGACAACAAAGCGATAACACTAAAATATTAGTGATTCAACTGCTTCTGTAGGGTTAACAGCACAGAGACCCCACATAAAGTATATACAAGGGCCGGGCACGGTGGCTCACGCCTATAATCCTAGCTCTCTGGGAGGCCGAGGCGGGCGGATTCTTTGAGCTCAGGAGTTCGAAACCAGCCTGAGCAAGAGCGAGACCCCGTCTCTACTAAAATTACAAAGAAATTAATTGGACAACTAAAAATATATAGAAAAAATTAGCCGGGCATGGTGGCGCATGCCTGTAGTCCCAGCTACTCGGGAGGCTGAGGCAGAAGGATCGGTTGAGCCCAGGAGTTTGAGGTTGCTGTGAGCTAGGATGACGCCACAGCACTCTAGCCCGGGCAACACAGTGAGACTCTGTCTCAAAAAATAAATAAATAAATAAAGTATATACAGGGTGTCCCAAAAGTCTCCATACAAAGGAAAAACTCTGTAAACTCTTGTAATAAACATTTTGTAAATAAAGGTACATTTAGCTACAATTTCCCATTTTCCCCATGTATGGTGACTTTTAGGATACCCTGTATATGCAACACTGCCTGTGTTGTAAGTGACATTTATATCATCAATTCAGTCACTCTTCATCACATGACTCAAGGCCCGTGCATGTGCGAGATGGTCTTTGTCTCTATCTGATGAAGTTCATTCCTGAACTCTTTCCTGATCTGTCTGTATAATATAACACATCTAAAATAAATTGCTAAAAACTCTTACACAAAACCTGAATTATGAAAAACTAAAAATAATGAGTTTTCAGATTCCTGGTCAAAAAAAATCTAAGGAGCACAGAATGCAGTAGTACCTCAACACTGCAAGCTGGAAATCCTTTTTTGAGGGGTCTGTAACTCTGGGGGGAAAGAGAAGAATACAATATGAACACTGCTTATTATTCCAAGAGATTTAGACCCTGATCTTAAGAGAGTCTAAGCTTGGGAGCACTTTTATCCAGGAAGCTTAGACTGCAACTGTGGGAACATAATTCTGCATAAATATGAAAAGGAGGAGGGAAGAGAGAACAAACTAGCAGAGGAATGGGGTCCCAGTAGAGAGGAGAGAGCTGTGTGCTACCTGAGGTGTGACAGCCAGGCCAGCACACACTCCGAAGTTGGAGAGCCCTCTTACCTTGTTCTTTGACAGAAGATCTGGTGCCTTTCGCTGAGCGCTCCACAATCAGTTGACTTGTGAAGGTCATGAATTCCTGAACACTAAGAAACACAATATGTATTTATTACCTTCTTCCCGTCACCTTGTCCCCAACCAAATGGAAAGTGACCTCTGAGCTTATACATAAGGAGACATTGCTTCTTGGTTTTGTTCCTTTCCCTCTCAACCCTAGTAACAAATAATAAACACTCTGTAAATGAACACAAAGATAATTACAAATCACCATCACCATTCAAGCAACATCTGTTTGCTTCCTAGCTTACCAAAACCACCCACTTTAGACTTCTGGGGAATTTTCTACAGGTTACAGTCTATTTAACATTTTGGTCAAAGCATGATATGGGTCACAATGGCGAAGCAGGAGGCAACTCCTGCTCTCAAGGCCCCGCTAACTTTCAAGAAGCAGGACTAATAAAAACAGCACTAGAAAAACAGTAGTGGCAAAAACTGTCAGGCAGATGTACAACCAGTTATGGCTGTGGCCACATGACGGACCCTGGCAATGCCACAAACATCCACAGTGAGTGCTGAGTCAGGTCTACTGGGGCTCATCGATGGGACCAGCACTCTGGGAAGAATGGAAGGAAACAGATAAACCAAGACAAGGAAGTGGGAAATGGCTCATACAATGGCTGAAAGGAAGGAAAAGGTTCATCATGGGCCCAGCAGAGAGATCTGGCCAGAATGGAATAGTCACAGGAGATGGTCCAGCCAGAGGACCAGGTGCTAACAAGGAGCCTCTGACTGGGGATGTGATATAAAGGGCAGCCAGAGCCATCAGAGCAGCGTCTTCAACTTGGAGTTCACAGCAGGCTCCAGCAGAGCCAGATAAAAAACTGAAGATCCAACTCTGGGATCACAGTTCCACCACTTACTAGGTATGTGACCTCAAGCCAGTTACTACACTGTGCCTCATTGATAAAATCGAGACCCATGTGACAATTAAAGGAGTTAATAAAGTACTTGGCACAAAGCTTGGCACACAGTATTACTTGTTATTATCTTGAGGGAGTGATATAATCAAAATAATCCCTTAGAGAAGAAGTCCCCAAAGAAGCCTTTGCAGTAAAACTAAAAACAGACAGCGCTTGAAGTAGGTCTGTGATTAGACAAAGGAAGAATTGTGTTAATCGTGACAGCATGTATCTGAAGGCCAAAAGCTGGAAACCACTCAAAAGGTTTTAAGCTTGGGGTCTGGTAACCATGGGGCAGGCAGGATGGAAGTGAGGTCATCTTATAAGAAAATATGCTCAGCTGGAACATGCGTTATTTTAAGAGATGTTAGTAGAGATGTCCATTTAGTGTTATAGCTGTTAGTCATCTGAAACTAGTGTGGGTATCCCAACCACATGAGGTGTAAGTCCTACAGTGAAATCTCTAAGAATCTTCAATATTTTTTTTCATTATTAAACAAGTGGCATCACTATGAGAATCTTCAATATTAATCGAAAGGAAAAAAGAAAAAAAATCAGAGCCAAGTTGGCACCAAAAGTTCCACCTGAGAAAAGCAATAACACAGAGCAGAGAACAGAGGACACGGTAAAAAAAAAAGCAAAGTAACAAGAAGAACTCTAAGAAGGAGTCTTAAGATGATAAAGCAATTCCACCTTTGGATATGTATCAAAAAGAAATGTAATCAGGGTTGACATATTTGTACATCATGTTCACAGCAATATTATTCACCATGACTATAACACGGAAGCAACCCAAGTGTCCATCAACAGATGAGTGAATAAGCAAAATATGGTGTATACATACAATGGAATATTATTCAGCCTTAAAAAGGAAGGAAATTCTAATACATGGAACATGGACGAACTTTGATGACATTACGCTAAGTGAAATAAGCCAGTCCCAAACAGAGAAACACTGCATGATTCCACTTGTATGAAGTCCCCAGAGAAGTTAAAATCATAGAGACAAATTAGAATGGTGGTTGCCAGGGGATGGGGGAGGAGGGAATGGAGAGTTAGTGTTTAATGGGCACAGAGTTTCAGGTTTACAAGATGAAAAGACTTCTGGAAATAAATGGTGGTGATGGTTGCACAACATTATCAATTCATTTAATTCCACTGAACTACACACTTAAAAATAGTTAAAATGATAATTTTTATGTGCATTTTATAATTAAAAAAATAAATTTTTAAAAAGAACCCAAAAGGAGCAGAAAGTTTCAACAAAATAACAAAATTTTTTGTAGATCTAGCCAGCAAGTCACTGGCAAAGAACTCTCATCAAGAACAAATAGTTGGGCCGGGCGCGGTGGCTCATGCCTGTAATCCTAGCACTCTGGGAGGCCGAGGTGGGCGGATCGTTCTGAGCTCAGGAGTTCGAGACCAGCCTGAGCAAGAGCAAGACCCCGTCTCTACCAAAAAATGGAAAGAAATTAATTGGACAGCTAAAAATATATGTAGAAAAAATTAGCCAGGCATGGTGGCACCCAGCTACTCGGGAGGCTGAGACAGTAGGATCGCTTGAGCCCAGGAGTTTGAGGTTGCTGTGAGCTAGGCTGACGCCACGGCACTCGCCCAAAAAAAAAAAAAAAACAAATAGTTGCACTGAAGCAATGAAAACAGAATCCAAATGGCAGATTCCATCAGACTTTAAGACAAGATGACCAGAGATACTGATCCTGTAGGGTCCTTTTCCTTTTGTGTCTGAGTCACCCCATCCCTCCCACCAATGGGCTGCAAGTGTCTGTGGTACTTCTAATACCTTCCTGCAATTAAAGCAACCCAGAAATATTTAAAAGCCTGTAAGCCCTATAGAGTCCATGCTTCCTTCCACATCTTCAGTGTAGAAAGAACCCTCTCCTACTAGTAGTTCCCAACCATTAAAAAGCACACAATCCGGGTCTGAGTCCTAGGTGGTTGTGGTATATAATCTCTCGGGACCTCAGTGATTTCATGCATAAAAAAAAGAGCATACATTATCTCTCATACTGAATTTTTGGGAAGGAGCCCCACGGGAAAATAAAATGTGACTCTCAAGATGTGGCACCCAGGCTCCCAGGGTCAGAATCATTGGATGAGAGGTGTTAGTTTAAAATATAGGTTTCTAGGCTTCAACCTACTAGTTCAGAACATCTGGGCATGAACCTTGGCAATGTGCACTATTTCAAAATCCCCTTATAATTTTTACGCGGCAGAAATTTGAAAAATACTGAATACAGGACGATGTTCTATAATAGTATAAGCCTTTTACAAGCGAATGTTGGATGATTCTTAGCCCTTGGGTGGCCCGCCCCCTCGCGGGTACAGGCCCAGACACCAGGCTCTCCCTGCCCCGCCCCCCTGTCCACAGACCTCCCGTCTCCACCCGGCCCGTGACTCCGACCTGGGCCTCCCCCTGCCCACCCTGACCCTGCCTTAGGGTCTCCCCAATCCTCCCCTGATCCCCCCCACACCGACCCCAGCCTCTCCGTCTGGCCGCCACGATCCCGCCGCCTGCCGCCGCTCACCTGGACCTCTGGAAGAAGCTGAAGGAAGACACGTCGTATGCGGCTTTGAGTAGCACCGCTTTGAGATCGCCTTTGTAGAGTACACTGAGGCTGTACAGCTTCATGGCGCCGAGCCCTTGGGCCGCCCGCCCCCGCGCGGGACCGGCTCGCAAGGAGCAGCGCGGCCGCCGCCCTTCGGGACCGCCGCCGCCTACTGGCCCCCCAGCAGCCGGCTGCTGACGGGGCCGCCGCCGGCTTCCTCCTCCTGCCTCGAGGTCCACTTCCGGTTCCGGGCAGGGGTTGTTGCCCGAGACCAAACGAAGGTTTCTCATGGCCCGGATGCAGAAAGGAGCGGCCGGAAACACGACGCAGCGAGGGGCAGGGCGCCGCGTGTGCGCTTGAGCCAGACTCCGCCCCGTTCGCCTGGGGAACTTGGCTGCGCCGCGCGGTGGCGTGCTGGGCGCTGCGGGGCCCTTTTGGGTCGTTCCGGGCCGCTCTGGGCTGTGCTGGACCGTCCAGGTCGCTCCCACTCCCCACTCCGGGCCACAAGAGCAACTCATACCAGCCTCTTGGGCAGTGAGAGCCAGAGCAACACCCACGGGTCCGTACTCTGCTGGAGGGAGGGACGTTTTCTTCCTGAGGCCCCTTCAGGGATGTGAAGAGTGCTTCCCGATGTCAGATTATTGACTACTCCTGCCGCGTGTCGAGCAATTTCCGGGCGACACAGGACCGCTCAGCACAAGGGTGCAGGGGAAAGTGCTGATTTAGGACCTCACAAAGTAGCAGAGCCTCTTCCCCTCAAAAGGGGGCAGAAATTAAGCTCCATATTGCAAGGAGTAGCTTGGTGCACAGTGACACGGAAAACTTAATTTTGCTTGCGTTGTTGAAATAACGCAAGTCCGTGGATGGAATGAGTGAGGCATAGTTCCCTGAGGGTGCCACATCTTGCCCGTTTCTTGTGTATTTAATGGCATCATGTAATCAGAAAAGAACTTGCAAGACACTTACACATGAAAGGACCTTGATCTTTGGAAGTTGGCAGTAAGGTCGCACAATATCATACTAGAAGAAGCGAGATCTGAGATGATGGGAAAGAGATGATATATTGGAAAACCAACAGCATCACTCTAAACATTACTCTAAATCAGGATTTCTCGACCTCAGCACTATTGACATTTTGGGTTGGGTAGTTCTTTGTTGTGGGGTGGGGGTTGCCCTGTGCATGGTAGGCGGCATCTCAGGCCTTGTACCCACTAGATCTCAGTATTCACCCAGCCCCCATTGTGGCAATCAAAAATGTCTCCAAATGTGCCCTGGGAAACAGTGGATTAGAGAACCATTGCTCTAAACAATCTGTGGCAGAAGGAAGTTACCAACACCTGCCCACTCAGCATCTCCCTCACCAACCCTCTTCCCTGGGTATTTCCAAGTACAGAGAGTGGAAAGGGCTTTTCCACATCTCCTCCATTTTGGTGCTAAACATCAGGAACAGCCATTGGCCATGGCTAGGCCCAGCCACCCACCTACATGGGCACAGAAATGTAACAAGCCTGGTAGCTGGGTGCTGTCATTCCAGCCCCCTCCTGCCTGCACTGACATCGTTGCCCTCTAGGCGGCAGGTGAGAGCAGTTCCTGAGGGAAATCTCTGGTGCCTGTTCCCTTCCGCACTGAAAGTTGTACAAAAGGATCAGGCAGACAGTGCTTGAATGAAATAGATTTAAATGTATTCACTTAACACATAGTAGTAGCCATCCCAAAGTTTCCCTTACACCAGACACTTTCCATGTGCTACCTCATTTAATCCTCACTAAAACAGAAGACAATATTATTAGTACCATCTTACAGACATAGAAACTGAGATTCAGTTTAAGGAAATTGTTAGTAAGAGGAAGAGCAGGGGTTCAGGTGTCAATACTGAAACGCTTAACAAACTCAGCAGCCCAGCTCTCCTCCTGGCAGCTCCCCACTCCTCTCTGGCCTTGCTCAGCCTCCGTTGACCCAGAAAGCCTCAGAGTCATATGATCGCAAACTTCCCAAGCTCGCCTATCTTACTGAAAAGCAAAACCTGCCTTCCACTGCATCATCCCAGCTGTCACCCAACTTGGATTCAGTCCCAGGACTGCCACACCACAAACCACAAAAGTGAGCAAACCATTACCCTTTCTAAGTGTCCTTTTTTTTTTTTTCATCTAGAAAACCAAAAAAATACCCTTTCCATGGGCATTGCTAGGAACAATAAAACAATATATTCCATGCTCTAGTCATTGTTGCACAAGGAGCAATGATGGTTTGTACTGTTATCATTAATGGCAAAAAGGAAGAGCGATCATAGTGGGTTGAAAGTGTCCTACAGACTGTGGAAAGTGAATATTTGAAAGTAAGCCAAAATCTGAGTAAGGTCTATAGGCTAGATAATAGTATTGTATCCATCTTAATTTCCTGATTTTGATCACTGCATATGGTTATATAAGAGAATTCTTTGTTTTTAGGAAGTTTACACAAGTGTTTGGGGGTAAGGGACATCATATCTGCAACTTAATGGGTTCATTCATATATATGTATTAACATATATACGTGTAGGTGAAAGATAAAGCAAATACAGTAAAGCTAATTTAAGGAATCAGGATGAAGAGTATCCAGGAATTCCTTGTACTGTTCTTGCGACTATTCTGTAAGTCCAGAATGCTGGGGATGGAAAAGGTAAGATTGCAGGGGCAGGACACTGAGGCTATGAACACAGCATGCACAGGGATGGGGGTGGCACAGTTCTCCAGGCCAGGCTCCCCCTCGAGCATTAGAAGAAAAGCCCCTCTGCAGACAGAACTGGAGTAACACAGTCCATGACAAATGGCCCAGACCCTACAAGCTTGCCCCACTGGGCGAGGCAGGAACCCACCCATCCTTGCAGCCTTGCCTAGTTCACATAAGGTACCAGGCCTGTCTGCACAGCAGCACCCCTAGGGAGCCAGGTAAAAGCCCGTCAAAGGGCATACCCCCAGGAGGCCGAGTCCAGGTGGGGAGCCCAGCCACACAATGGTCCCTGCACCCACACCTCCTCTTCCAGTCAGCCAAGGCCAGGGCATCTGGGCTGTTGTCACACAAAATGTAACATGAGCTTCCACAGCTCATATGGGAAAGGGGCATTAAAAGGGACCCTCCACATGGTCAGGTCTTCATGGCCTGAGTAGGTCACCAAGCCTCGGGTGTACAGACTTGATGCCATCAATCAGGGCCATCAGCAGACCCAGCCCCAGGAATACTGCTACTACCATAACCCCTCACTGAAGCGTCCCAGACTCCCACTGGGTTCTCCAGGCCACAGGGAAGACAAATATGGTCTGCCACCAAATGTTTACTAAGCTCTGTGACTGGCTATGAGGGAACAGGGACGTCAGAGCATGGGAGGCGCAAGGATAGGAAGATACTTGGGTAGGAAGGGATCAGCCAAAGAAGACAGGAGGCAGGAGAGCCAGGTAGGAGCTCTTGGAAGTAGTGAGGCAGGTGCCCTTGTTTTGAGACTGCCTCCCCTGCAGGGGCTTCCCAGAAGCTTTATTTGTCCTAGAGATACCCTTCTCCAGCTGAGGGGCTAGAGATGGATATGTAGCCACTATAGACAAATGCCAGGAATTGGGACTTGGGGCACATGGTGATACAGGCCAGTGGCTTGTCCTATTGATAGCATCTTTATGGCCATGTCGTTACCCTGTAGAGAAAATGGGAGAAAGTCTAAAGGGGGTGAACAAGGGCACACAGGACAGCCTGGGGAGGAGTCCGTGCTTCAAGACCAGCATGCACCTCTCCTGCCTCCCAGGGGCATGGGCAAGGGAATGGGATATGGCCTTGTAGCAGCTCCCCACAGTCTCCCAGAGGATCACAGAGTGTTCTGTTAAGACTCAGATCAGGTGTGGTTCCAGCCTTTGCTCGCATGGCCTGTAGGTATACCTGAAAGGTGACCAGAGCAGAGTTGTTCCCGTACAACATAGAAATAAAACAATGGAATACAAACCGTGGGTACAGTCGACATTACAAAGCAGTGGGGAAAGGATAGCTTCCCCAACAAATAGCCACATTGGACTCCTACCTCACACCATACACAAAAAGCTGCCTGAGACCCTGTGAAAGCTGAAAGGAGGATTTGGAAGAAAGGTGCGAATGGGAGGTGTGCCCTCAGAATGGCCAGGCACATCCAACACGGACAATTCCAGAAAGATTAAAGTGCCGAATATATTTTCAAAATGCAAAAATAATAAAAGGAAATGTGAGAAAACATTTTTACAATGCGGGGGTGGGAAATGCTTTTCTTAACAAGACGTAAAGCTCCAAAGCAACAAAGCAAAGATTGAAATTCATAAAAAGTAGATACTTCTGTATGATGAAAGACACTATTAATCAAGTTGTAAGTTTAACAATAGACTGGGGGAGAGATCATAGCATATTTAACAAAGGATTCATAATATGATAGATATTATAGACAACGTAAAAATGGTTTCTACAAATCAATAGGTAGAAGATAATTCAATAGCAACACAGTTAAATAATATAAACAAATCATCCTTAAAAGAAGAAATGCAATCATCAAAAAACATATGAAAAGGTGTCCAGCTTTTTGCAATTCAAACAACGAAATGGCCAATCAGCAAAAATCCATAAAGATTTATCATCTCAAGGATTTGCCAGGGTATAATCAAACTCCCAATGTTGGTGGAAGTACTAATAAATTGGTAAAGCCATTTGAGGAAGCGATATAGTCCTATCTACCAAATGGTTAAATGTATACAGCATTTGAACTCCCATTCAGCCTCTCGGAGCCATCCAGAAGAAACATTGGCATATGTTTACTTAGATGAAATACAAAGATTTCTACTGCAGCCTTGTGAAAATGGGAAAAACTGAAACTTCCTCAATGATCAGCAATAGGAAGTTGATCTTTAAGCGTTAGAGTGTATCCATCTGGAGAGATCTCACCGGTCACTCCTCCTCACTGCCCCTGCTGACTTCTGGATATCAGTGGCCTCTTTGGCCCACATCAACGCTATCCAATCTGGTAGCCACTAGGCACACTGAGCACTTGAAAAGTGGCCAGTCCTAACTGAGAAGTGCTGTGAGTGTGAAATACACCCCAGGTCTCAGGGTCTTAGGCCAGAAGCACGTTTTGTTCCAGACTGTTGACTGAGCGCCTGGAGCCAGCCGCCGAGTCGGCTCCATTCTCTGAGTCTCCCTACCGCGCAGGACCAACATCTCCAGGGGCACCTGGACTGTGAGGATGAGAGAGGGCGGAGGCTCCCTGAGCAGGGCAA